TATACATACACACACACACACAGGATTTGGTACCCACTTTACTCCTATCACAATAAACGGTGAGCATTGTCACAAGCTATCAGATATTCATCTACAACACTTTTATTTTTTAAGTAAGAGAGTGCATGCACAGAGAGAGAGAGAAACAGAGAGAGAGAGAGAGAACCCCTCCCTTCATACCACAATCCCTTCTCCATTTCTTCTTTTGGGATTTTTACATACACGTACATGGACTTGGAGTGTTTCTCATGCTGCTGGGTTTGGGACTTGAACTGTGTGATCGGCCATGTGGGAATCCAGCTGCCTTAACCACCACCGTGGGCTGGACCTAAGGCATTGCTTTTAACGGCTACACTGTACTAGCTATGGAAACGGTACTATAACGGATCTTCCAAAATCTCAAGAGCCCCAGTTTCCTTGCAAGTAAAATGTAGAATTTTCTGCCTATCTAGCATCTTTGTGCTTTTTTGGGTGTGTGTATAAAAATTAGAGTTAATGAATGTAATTTACAATGCTCCACATATAGTAGAGGATTAGTAAGGACAAAAACTATTTGTTGTTAATATTATTAGCAATATCTAGTTATCATGCACTTAAACAAAGGAAATCAGCAAATAAACTAAAACCTGTTTATAATTCTAACACCAAGGTGAACTGAATGTTGGAAATATTTTAAGATATTCCATTTCCATGAACACTATCTGTGGTGTGAAAAAATGAAATTGTGTTTGGGTCTCCACAGGTGTGTCTGAATTTTGTTCTCAGCCCTTTATTTTACTGGTTGCTCTCATCACCCGAGAACAGGCTTTCATGTAAGGTAACAAATGATAGCTCTTTTTAACAAAAGCATGAAAAAATAAAAAATAAATCTGCGAGCTGTTTTGCCCGGCTGAGCTATGCTTCCGTTGGTGTCCTGACTTCAGCTGAAACAAAGACTGGCACACCTGGACCAGGGCAGGCGATGAGGACGCCCCGCACTCTGAAGCAGGGGTTGTTCTGCAAGAACGAGGGCCACTGCCCAACCTGCTACTCACACAGTAACTGGTCAGAGAAGAAAAGCTCCAGTTTTTGATATTTTCACATTATTATACAGCATAGGTAAAATAAGTATGACACAAAGGTGCCCTCATTTAAAGCGGAGACTGAATTCCTTGGACTTCCACTCACCGTATCGACAGTTAAAGTTCAGTTTCACACAGCACATCTCTGCCGAAAATCAGCAAGGCCTTCGAATTCCAAGTGGAAGCGTGTGCCACGCAAACTTATGTGACAGCGAGTGGCAGGCTGTGCCACGTGACCTTGTGAAACAGTGAGTGGAAGCCTGTGCCACGCGAACTTGCATGACAGTGAGTAGGAGGCTGTGCCACACGGACTTGTGCAACAGCTAGTGGAAGCCTGTGCCACACGAACTTGTGTGACAACAAGTGGGAAGTCATGCCACTCCTGCAACACGGTCGATATCAGTAGGGAGTAGTCTGTAAAGCACCCTTCCCACATGACGAAGTCTGATTTGGAAAAGTGCCATGGGTGCCTTAAAGAACACACGGCACACAGTCGCACCAAGTACCTAAGCCAACGAGAAATGCACGGTTTTCATCTGGGATGCCAAATCCCGCAGAAAACAGTTTGGAGAATGAAGCATACATTCCTACGCAGAACCACTTTGGCCTGGCCAGCCACCTCCTGGCCTGCTTTCTGTGATGACCTTCCCCTCCCCCACTGTCACCCTACTCCCCATATTCTCCTCCTCCTCCCTGGTCACAGCCGCTCTCTCTCCTGCTGCAGAGCTGGGCCCTTCCTGCCAGGAAGGAGGCGGCCAGATCAGCCAGTCCAACCCCATGCCTCAGCCACAGTCCCCACCCGAGCTGGCTAGTGTAACTCAGGTGCACTTTTCATTTTACTTCATTTAAATTTGAATTGCAGTCACCGCACACGGCCACGGCCACCATAGTGGGTGGTGCGGTTCCCGGTGCGGAATCCTCGCACACCTCCAGGCCTTCGCACACGCACGACCTTTGTTCTCTAACTGGTTCCTGTGTGCTCTTTAGGTCTCAGCTTAGGAACTCACAGAAAAAACACACACCCTCTGCAAAAGCACCGTTGAATGTCCAGGTCAGCACTCTTTTTCCGTTCTGTGTTCTAAATGCATCCTACCTCGGATTTTATTTTTATTACTGTAATTATTCATTTGTCTATTGTCTTCCCTTGATGGCAAGAATATTTTTCATTCTCTGTATTCCAAACTTGCTTGGCACATTCCACACTTAGAAATACTTGTATGTGATTCCCTCTTAACACTCACATTCGCTTACTCAGTAAGTTATCGGTAATGGATGAACAAGTATTTCTAAGCAATTGATGCTGTTTAGACTAAGCATATCCCTGAGCTAACTTTAACTTCAATGGCAGTTTTAGGAACAGCCTGTACCTCCCTGGACAATGGCTCAATGGCACCCCGCCAGGTGAGAACGCCAGAAAGGAGGAACACAGTTTGCGGGAGCTGCGGAGGACCTTTCCTCTCTTAGCTTGGGTTACTGCCCAAACAGTTTTTTTTTTTTTTTTTTAAACATTTACTTGCCTATTTCTTTGTGAGACAGAGAGATGCCCTCACCCTCCCACAAAAGGGAGTCTCCATGCCATAATCCACCAGCAGTGTAGCAGACCCAGAGGATGGGCCACGCACACACACCTACTCTGTCTAGGGAAATCCCAGGACATGAACCCAGGACCTTTCCCCTGTGGACCCTATTGCTTACTACATTACTACTGTGGCATCCCCCCAACTCCCTTCCTCTGTCTTTAGTGCTAAATCCTCTACGATGCCTGCTGGGTATTTCCCCTGTGTTGCAAGAGGAGTGTGTTCATTACGAGAGTTACAAAGGGATTTGGGGAACTGCAAGAAAGGTCACATAAGAGAGAACCACACAAAACCTCAATTGATAGTTTCACAGCTTAAACCTGCCAGGTCATGTGGACACAAAACAGGAAGACAGAGCCCTGGAATGAAGAGGATTAGTGAGTCCGGGCTCAGAGTCAGGCCACAACCCTGGGCATTTAGCCTCCCTGGGGGCTGCGGTTTATTGTGATCACTGGAGCATGGTCCCTGTGGCTGAGGGTCATCAGAGAAGCAGGACCAGTCTACCAATAACTCCGCTGTCCTCACTCCACTCTCCTGCTGGCCACATGGGGTTAGCATCAAAAGGCGTGGAAGAACCTGCAGCAGGAACACGGGCACACGGTGTGTAGGACTTAGCGACCCGGGGCCTGCGGGGTTTGTCACATACACTGGTCGCTGTGCAGGAGTGCAGGGCAGCTTGCAGTGCTCACTCTCCAGCAGGTCCGGATGGGTCGATCTCCCACCGCCATCTCCTAAAGCCCTGCAGTCCCTGAACTGCTGGTCTTGCTGCCTCAGGGCAACCAGGAGACTGGCCTCCAGTGGTGCTCCTGCCTGCACCTGGGCCAGCTGGGCATGGGAGCAGCCTAGACTCTCCAAGGGCTCTCGGGTTGGACCAGGCCTGTGGCTCGACCTCCTGAGCCTCAGCTGTGTCTCTCAGCCTGTGACCACTACCCAGCAACGTACCTGCTCTGAGCTGAACGCCACATGCTTGCTACAGTGTTTTAATGTGCACCATCTCCTTACGTTTTCTCCGCAAATCCTCGGAGGAAAGTGCTTTCTTAGCCCCACTAATCAGATAAGGAAAGTGGAGTGTAGAAAGGTTAAATAACTTGAGTGTCATTCGATTCCAAAAATCGAGCTCTTGACATTATCGCAAGTGACTCAGCAGCCATGAGGGAGAACCACCACGTGTGCAGCTGGGGGTTCACGAGGCTCGCTCATTAGCTGGGGCCTGTCTCCCACACCGCAGACTAAGCATCTGTGACTCCGATTTACACTGTGCCTCAGCGAAACCACGGACCCTCAGAGTAGCTGCAAATAGCTACAACTCGGAATGTTATGTCTGTAAATGCCAAGAACTTGTTCTATGCCACTTTCTTATTCTCTATATCCCCCACTGTTGAGAATGCTCATAGATTGCCATGGTTACAAGCTGGAAAAGATTCAGGTTCTTGGGCCTCGTGACCTGTGAGAAACAGTGGTTTTTATAGTGTTGGTAATATTTGTATAAGGAAAACAATTACAGCCGTGAGTAAGCAAAGTCCCACTTGGCTATCAGAAAACGGCATTCCAAAGACCCATGAATAAAAGAAATCTATAAATATAGGAGCTTAGTGGGGGCAGGGATTGGAAAATGGGGATTAAAAAAAATGACTCTGTTTACATTCCCTGTCATAAACAATTAGGCACACACATCTCATCAACCAGGGAGTAGGGCCACCAAAGTTACTGGATTAAAAAAAAATAATAATGGACAGGACCAGTAGATGGCATAATGGTTCCATTGCTGGACTCCCACGTAGTCCATTATGGTTCAAGTCCTGGACCTGGCAGCTTAAAACTCACACCGAGCACACGTGCGTGCATGCCCACAATCCCAAGAGAAAAATAGAGAAGAGATTGCTGACAAGCACACATGTCCTATAGCAAAAATCTCTCTTAAAAAAAAAGCTGCAAATAATTTTTACCACAACAGATAATTAAAATACTATGAGAACTGAAATTAAATTATGCAACTTCCAAATGTGGTAAAATATATTTAATGAAACATTCCCACTTTGCAATAATAATGTTCCTTCTTTTGTAAGATTTTAATTCACATTTGAGCAAATTTAGCATCAATAAAAATAGTACCTACCATGTGCAAACTTCTAACCATAATGTGCTAAGAAAAAGTTTTACAAATGTGCCTAATTAAGAGAGAGAACTGAGGCAGCAAAAGAAAAATGTAAGAAAGTCACTGACAACAAAATTCCTGGAATATTATCTTCCATGTCACCAAATTAGAACAGAGGAGTGAGGATAACCTACTCTGAAACGAAGTTTAACCTAGTGTCTCTCCCCTCACCCCCGCGTGAGTTATCAATTTATGAAAAGTAGTGAATGACATGCTTTGGAGCACCAGGACCCAGACAGCCTTGGCTTCTCCTTGCAGACCTAGAGACCTCGCGGGACAGACAGAGCTAAAGTTCCTTCTACTTTATGCAGTCCAGTCCTAGTTCACATACTAGAAAACAAAGATGCCAAGTTTGGTGGTTTTCTCATGGCCACAGACCACGTTGCAGCCTGGTCTTGAACAGGAACAGCACAACTGCTGGGTCTCCTTACACTCTGCTATGAAGGGTATTCCCAGCCCTAAGGAGGAGGAGAGGCAAGTCCAACCCCTTCCTGTGGTGTGGTGTGGTGTGGTATGAGGAGGACTATCAGATTATTAACTCAGGTGTTGTGCTCTGGCTTCTGATGTTCTAAAAATATTTAGGAATCACTCACCAATGATTCTGAGATCAATCGGGACCACTATAAATAAACTTCCTGTATTTCTATTTGTCACAGTACTTCAACCTGGCTGCAGAAGCTTATCAGGGAGCTGAATCATCCCAGGTACTTAGCTTCTCACTTAACTATCTAGTCGTATTTTTCCACGGGAAACAGAGAATACAACCTGTTACATATTAGGCAATAAAAGGAACATAGTTCCTCTTTGTGTACTAGAAGGTTTGCCTAAAATTTAGATGCAAAGCTGACACGGCTTACTGTACTATCGGTACTCAGATGTATCTATCACCTGTTCCCAGGTGACTAAGGGATAACGCATATACCTGTTACTGAACCTTGATTAGTTAGTCAGTGGGATGGTATCAGGGTAAAGATGCGGTGGCCATGTCATTAGGCAACTTACATTCCTTGCCATAGAAAGTTACAGTAAAACCAATCCAATGAAGATATTTTTAAAAACAAATAAGCTTCTCTAGGCAATGACAGAGATCCTAACATTATTAACATCACACCTATTAACAAAACCTGGATAAACTAGCTGCTAGATTCTATAGGCCATTCTTTTTTTTCGGGGGGGGGGGGGCG